TTAGGGTTTTTGGTTTAAGGTTTAGGGCTTGCGGCTTAAAGAAAGCGCAGGTGCGAAGAAATGTTAGGATGCGGTCGGGACTTAGGTTGGAAGTCGGGTCTTAAGTTTAGGCGCTGGGGGATGCTAGTGCCTAGTGCTCCTGACTACCCATTATCAAAACCATAGTTGAATTAACTTTCGGGGCTCTTATAAGGTTAAATAAATCCCCCAAATTGCCAAACAAAATCCCTAAACTCAACCGGACTTAACTCCTAACCCCCTATGCCGCGCACCCCCAAACCCCAAAAACACTAAACCCTAAAACCCTAACCCTAACCCTAAACCATCGTAGCCGTGCTATCACTAGTACCTACGATCTAAGGGATATCAGATCGGCTGTCCCCAACAAGCGCTCAAAGGTTGCTGTACGGACGGCTACTCTGAATACCATAAGGTTGCTATAAGGTTACCATGAGGTTACCATAAAGTCACTGTAAGGTTACCACAAGGTCACTATAAGGCTACTATAAGGTTACCTTATGGCTGCTGTAAATGTTCCTATGAGGCCACGATAACCAGGCCCCCAAAGCTCTCAAGCACCCTAGAGCCCCAATGGGGCCCTCTTTTTAAGAACCCGCTTCCCCTCAAAATCCCATAAAGCCTTGTAATAAGACCCTTCCCGTCAAAAAGAAAAACTTGAAGGCCCGTATGAAACCGTATAAAGCGTCCAGAAAGAGGCCCGACCGCCCACAAAAAAAGCCAGCTTGCAGAGCCTAAAGCCCTCAGCGACCGAGGCACCACGCAAGTGTTCTTAAGCCGCCGGAAACCCGACCACTTGGGGTTGTAGTAGTTCTCGGAGAGAAGGAAGTCCTCGAAAAGCGCTTGGCGGTTCAGTCTCTGGGTTCGGCTGTCCAGGGTCTGGTTGCTTATGCTTTAAGGGGCCCCCCAGAAATCCTAAACCCTAGTCCCTCAAAGCCCTAAACCCCAAACTCTAAATCCCTCAAACCCTGAACCCCAGAAATATTTAGCCCCAAACCGGATTGGGGAGGGAAGAGCCAGGATGAGTAGGATGCGGGTTTTAGGGTTTGGGGTTTAGGGTTCAGGGTTTAGGGTTTGGGGTTTAGGGAGGGTTCAGGGTTGAGGGTTTAGGGTTTGGGGGTTCAGGGTTTAGGGTTGTTTGTACTCAATCTTCAAACTTGGGGCGGTCAGGTCTTCAGGCTCCTAGGGTTTGGGGTGTAGGTCTTTTCGGGCAATGACCCTCAAACCTAAACACTAAAGCCCAAAGCCCAAAGCCCAAAAAAAAAATCATGAACAAAATCTACAACAACCGGAAACTCTGAACCTAAGCCCCCAAAAAATATCATGAACAAATCTACAACAACCGGAAACTCTCAACCTAAGCCCCAAAAAAAGATCATGAACGAAATCAACAACCCGAAACTCTGAACCTGAGCCTTAAGACCTGAACCCCAAAACAGGGCCGGGTCCTTGGGCCTTAGTAAGGAAGGTTATCAATCCCTCAAGTGGGGTTATAAGTAAATATAAGTATAGTTACCTTAATTCTAACCCTACTTACTAAGTCCCATGATCCCTAAACCCTAAACCCTAAACCCTGCACCCTACTTACGAAGTCCCATGATCCCTAAACCCTAAACCCTAAACCCTAAACCCTACACCCTACTTACTAAGTCCCATGATCCTTTAAGTAGACCCTAAACCCCAAACCCTAAACTTGTAAATCCCAAACCCTAACCCCCTGAACCCAAATCCCCTAACCCTAAACCCTCCTTCAAAGGGCCGGGTCCTTGGGCAAGGTCTCCAGGCTCCGGCCCTTGAAGAGGCGGAACTGGTTGGCCGGGTAGAACCTGCCAGGCTGATGCATGCAGGGCCTATAGGGTTTAGGGTTTA